GATTAAAAGGTCTGATAAAAACCAACATTTTAGTCATGATTTTTTTAACTATAAAGGCTGTAGATATATTTTTTTAGTTTTGTTGCTGGAACATTCAATATTATATCAGTTATACGATTACAAAAGATAAAAGTACATCTATAAATTATAGTAAAAGGCTATTATGAGACGTAGATACTATTATACTTAAACGATTTACTGAACTATTGTTTCGATAAAAAAAAACAGATCTTTAAATACTTGCTTGCTTGTTAGTGAAAAAAAAAATATTACATTTTGTTTTTAACATATTTCCAAGCAACCCAAATGACACTAAAACTGTTTGTGTATTTAGTGTTTTAAATTTATTCTATTAAGGTATGCTTTCAAATGCCAATGAGTGCATGAAAAACAGCTTTTTCACCGTTCTTGATTATTTTTATGAATGATTTTATAAATAAAATGAAGTTTTAATTCTATGAAATGGATATGATTTCATTAATCTTTATATGTTTTTTTTTTGTTTGACATAGTCCGTGGAAAAATAGACTGCCCGGAACTACTAAATACCGAAAACCCGACATACGCCTTTATTTTATATCCCTCACAGACGAACTAGTTATGAGGCTTATACTGTTCTTGCTAGACTACCTAGAAATTACAATAAAAATATCATTCAATTGATTCGTTTAATGTAGTAAAAATATTTATAAGGTACATATTAATAATTACTTAAAGGGCGGTTAGTAAAATTGATAACAGTTTTATTCTTATATTTATAATAATACGTAGATGATCAAATATACCTAATATAATAAATGACAAAAATTTTAATGTCATGGTTACAACTAATAAAAAAAAGGAAAAGGAACATTTTATTAATGTATAATGGTTTTATAGTTAAAAATGGGTTGCTCTTATGACGCTGCGTTGCTTCCCTTATTTAACTTTTCCATGATATATAACAGAATCTGTCTCAGGAGATCACGAACATAGATATGTAAGGATATGTAATATCGAGTGTGTGTATGTATGAGTGTTAATATTTTGTTGATTTTAAATCGTAAAAAATAACCGAAATCCTGTAATTATCTTTACTCTCTGTTACATTACATAAGAACTTATACGTTCTTATCAATTCATATTTTGTAAAAGACGGTTTTCTCGCAATAAAAAAAAAATATATATTAATGGAAATCCAAAATTTGTAAATTCACAAAGGTCTTGTTTTACCGTCTATCATAAGTTTGACAAAAATGTTTAATTGGCATTAAAATGTAACACGAACCATTAAAAAGAAAGTAAGAAGAAAATAATATTTGAGAGCGAAAAAATATAAGTTCCCTTGATTGTTAATATGAAACTCAAACAAGCCCCGAGCGCTTACAAGAACAATGTTTCTGTTTAAATTAATTTTGATTTTTTTGAAATATTCTGTATATAGTACACATAAATCTTATTTTAGGTATACTCTTTTTTTGAAGAGTCTCTATTTGAAAAGTCTCTTCTGTGAATAGTTCCTACAATCTTTCAGTCTATTGTAACATACTAATAATGATTTATAATACCAATTCGTAACAGTGTCTTAACATAAGTACATATTTGCAACATTCATAAGACATAGAACGATAATCTTCATTAAAGTTATAACTAATTTCAACCACGATTCGTCCTTACGAAAGTTCTAGCCCGGATGATGTTTAAAGTGTGGTAAGTCTTTTGATTTCGGAATTTTAATTAATTTTTCATCCACCTCTTTTCTAATTCTCTTCTTCTCTATTAGTAAACCCTCGTATGAACTCTTTGCTGTTTTCACTGAACTTCAGACACATCACTAATATATATTCGTATAGCAATAAATGTATCAAGGCAGGTAACAATGGAATTGTTATTGAATGTAGATTAGATTGAACAATTTTTATTTGAAGAGTTTCTGCATCTTTGCGTGAAATAAAGTTATGTCGCCTGCATATGAACTCGGTATGGAATTGTCCACTTTTGTGTGGAATCGTATTCCCTCTTGGACCATGTTCCGGTAGGTCTCTAAATTGCATTGCCTTAACGAGATTTGAACGAGTGCTCGGCTGGATTCAGAGAGTTGTATATTATTATAATAACATGTTCGCTGTTTCTAAAAAGGTTGACAGAATGTTTCTAACAGCTGAAAATGCAGTTAGAAACATGCCGTCGACCTGTTTAGATTTTTTACTTTTTATGAAATAAAATCAAAATTGTACTTTTTCGCTAATAGAGTTATCATTTTCATTATGATTTGTATATTATTAACCAACTTTAAATTCGAAAGGGATGTTTTATGTTAGACAGCGATGAGAGTTTTTTTCTATTTCTTATATATGGTAACTTTTATCGAAAATTGTCGACCGATTTTCAAAAAAAGAAATTTATATCTTGAATTATTATTGTCACTTTATTTAACTTTAAAGGCTTTTAATGCTATGAATTTTTTATTTAGCAGAATGTCTTAATTTCAAAACGATTTATACCCAATATTTTATCCCCTCTGTAAAACTTATAGTAGTTTTAAATTATACGTTAATTATGCCCATATTCCGTACAAATATGGGCTTTTTATGGGCAAATTATGGGCAAAAATTATTTGTGGGTTAAAAATGGTTCTAGAATCAAACAAAATATATTTTAAAATATGCACATCAAACACTTGTGTATGGTACGCCACTAGAACAATAGCTTCAATAAAAACATTTCGACTTATAAAACAATATTTAGTCCAAATGATCATCATATCGGCCGTTCGACGCCCATTGCTGGGCTTATGCCCAATCATCGTGGAGACCAAGGCCTGGGGCTTATGCCTGGGTCTCCACGACGATCGGTCCTGCGCTGCCCGCAACTTTATTAGATTGTCGGTCCACTTGATTGGGGGTCTATATCTGCCCGAATGACCATCAGTTCTTCTTGCTGTGTATCTGGCCCATTGCCGCTTCAGCTGAGCAATCCTTCGAGCAATATCAGTTACGTTACTTCTCGTAATGCTCCAATAATTACTCCGCGTTATAATATGTAATGGTAAATTTTATTTAAAGGTAAGATATTATACAGTCCTTATACAATTTAGAGATAGTTTATACAATAACATAATATAAAAAGATTTTTAGCGGTATTTTTCCACAATTGCATACATAATTTTATATGTTTCACGATAGTAATAATTAATATACTTTACTATTTATTATAAATATGAAATTTTTAAATCGATATATAAATTAAAAAATCTTTTTGGATTAGACATACTAGTTTTGAGTCTACTACCTCATCGTTGATGGTGGAAACTACACTATAAAGTAGTTTTGTATTCATTCGGTGGCTCGACCCTTACTAAAACAAAGTGCTACTATGAGCCGTAGCTTATGAAATAAATTGGATTTCCGTACAGGTGCTCTGAATTTTCCGAGCGGTGTTTATAAAGTTTGTATATGTTCAATTTAAAATTTATTCGACCGCATTTTAACATGTACTCTTCTTTTACATTTAACACAAAAAGATAAACAATGGTAGTCCCTAATTAACAAAGTTTTTGAGCATCTTTATTCACCAGTTTAGATGAGTTAAGTACTTGTGCTCTTTAGGAATTTGTCGCCGTCGGACTCCGCGTTCTAACTTATAAACCAATCTCTTAAACTTTCTATTGAGGAACCTGCCGCAAAAATTCCTTTATTGTCCTTATAGGTCTTATTCATTTTAATTTTTAATAATATAATGTTAATACCAAATTTATAAATAAAAACATGAAAAAGCAACTACTTATAAACACAATCGGAATAAACTAATAATATTAACTAAAAAAAATCTTCCTTTTAAAATTACACGTTTCTGGTCCACTAGCAATGTTAGCAATGTTAATATATATGATAATTTACCTCATTTACATGAGTGAAAAACTCCAATTTAAAGATAATATTATAGTTTAGTTATCTTCATTTAAAAATCTGTTTAATTATTGAATATTATATCTATTAAATAAGTTATTTAGTTTAATTAAGAAAGGAAATATTACCTACATTTTAAAGCATAGTGTCTTCCTATCTCCAAATTTGCTGTATCGGACGGGGTCCATATTGATACTTTTGTTTTTGTGAACATCTTAACACCACATTGTAGAATACAAAAAATAAATTAGTAAATAACCGATACTTTTATAAAATAAAAGATATCTACAATTTCTTATCACAATCAAACCTGATTAAGCTTTTAAACACACCAAAATTATGACAAAGGTTGATTATATTTTTAACCTTTGTAGTAATTATTAGATTTTGCTAGGATTTTAATAAAACAGAGTGATTCTTTATTTCAATAAAAAATTGTAAGATGTCCGTGTTGAACCGAGTTATCAAATGAAGCAATAAGTAAATATAAAATTAAATGCATTTGAATTAATTAAATTGGTATAACGTATTTTTTTTATGACAGGAGTGTTTTTGACTACTTGTTAAGCATAGATACCTATACAAATCTCAATAAAAATAAAATATATTACATGTGTCCTATTAAAGATTTTTCAACAAAATATATTAATCCTTACATGTGTCCCAAATATAGCTCGACGAATCGTCAAAATTGATACAGCCGACGTAAATATTTCAATATAACACGGTGTAGGTTGTTTGTTTTATTCGCGAATACGCTTGGAGCGGTGTAGTCTTGCATGAATTTTATGTGAATGAACAGATTTTTGGTGTTTATATACGAAATGAATTCGTGAACATATAAACATGAGTGTATTGTGAAGATCGAGTACAATGGAATATAGAAACCTTTGCTCCTTTGAAATTATATGGAAGACGTATATTTAATTTTTGCCCGTCTAGAAAAAAAATATTATTTAATTCGATATTAAGTATTAAATAATATTTTTTTATTAAATGGTGTTCTTAGAAGTTTCTGTTTTTATTTATAGTATTTGCTTTTTAAGGTGGGCATTATTGAAATAATCATTTTGTATGTTTTTATAATAAAATACGAAAACATTTATTGCTCACCAGTTTTGACGAGTTTGAAAGTGACTTGCTGTTGATTCTTGAGTTGCTCGTTGTGATTTGGATGGGTTAGCTCACGTAGAGCCATCTCTATTGAAGGTTGCTGCATAGTGCGTGCGCGTGGTGGCGACGACTCCTTTGATCGACTCAGTTTTCGAAAGAAACTGACTTTCTTCGATTTTGAGTTCGTCCCTGCCAAAAAATAACGTGGTGTGTTAGTGGTTGTTTAAACGAAGACTCGACGTATTTTTTCTGTTTCTATGTGTCATTGATTGCATATCATAGGTTAGTTTTGAAAACCAAATCAAACCATTAACTTAAAAGTCGATTTCTGCTAGTACAGGCAGTATTAATATCTCAGTCAGTTTTATCACACACTTGTTTGTTAGATTAAATGTAAACCCATGCTCATTCAGAACCTTCAGCAGACTGGTGCGGTGTTGGCGTCGAATACGAGGAAGAGCGGCCTGATGGTGAGGTACTCGTCGGTTCGGAGTAAGGCCGTGGAGGGAGTAGGCTAAGGGAGGACGTCGACGGAGACGGGAAATGAGCCGCCGATACATCAGACCTGCGATCTGGCTCAGGAGTAGTTACGCGAATTTTTGCAGTGAACTGTGGTGTATTGGCAACCTCAAATAGAGCATCAAAATCTCTATCGAAAATATTTTTTCGAGAGAAAGCCGGCGTGGGCAGCGGCGCGGGTAATTCGAATTCATCAGGAGCAGGGGTTCTTACTATTTTTCCAAATTCGTTATCCTCATGACGGCCGAGTTTCTTGAATAGTTTGCCTTTTGTCTTTTGTTTATTGGGTCGCTCGAGCGACGGCGTCGGCGACGCCGGCGCGCGCTCTGGGGGCTCAGGGGGCGCCGTTTTGAGTGTAAGCAAACTGCGGGAGGAGGTAGGGATCGGGGACGGGGGTTGTGCTACAGACGTCGAGGGAAGCAGCGGCCCGATAAGGACGTCCAGTGTTGGCCGCTGCCGGGGCCGGGGCAGCGAATGCGATGTGTATGTCAGGGAAACTACTTCATCCGCAGGATATATTACGTACATCCCTGGCGAGACCGCATCGCGCCGGCCCCTCGCGCCCTCCGAAGAGGTTCACGCGCGTCTTAAGTTCTTCCTACTAAAGAATATACGTGCGGTCTTTTTTTTCTCAAGTTTTTCTTCGAAATCAAAGAAAACGTAATTTGTTGTGAATTTATAATTAATAGTGGAATGTAATATTATGCAGCGTCACTTTTGCGCAAGAGTCAATGGACGATGAAGGAATGTTTTTTTTTATAAGAGGGATTTTGAGCTTTTTTTAGGAGATAGGAAGGATATTTTTTCTTCTAGTAACGGCCACAAGTGTGAATACATCTTCATCCTATATAAAACAAAAGTTTTAATGAAATAAACTGCTTTGGAAATCGGCTATATAGTATTTATAAAATTTCTGGTAACAGAATGTTAGCTTTTATATGTATATAGGCCACGCAAGATGTGTTTAAAATAACTAAACAAAGAACAAACAGCCCTCGTGTCGTTATAATAAGTGCAATGTTTGAAAGATAAACAGTCTAAGAATGAGCAAATATTGACGTGTGTTCCCAAACTTTGAATAAAATGTTGTTCCGAAAGCTTAGTTTGCTAAACACGGTAGAACAGATTGAAGTATATCATTATGTATCTACACCAAAAATTTAACACACATAAGATTTAATCAATACGGATTATAGAAATCTTGGATTCAGATCTTTTTTATATTTAATATCTTAATTTATTTTAAAATATCTGAATGCTTGCATTAGACAAATTAAATATTACAAGTTTAAAGCACTAAAGTTGTCTAATGTGTGATATACCTATTAAAATAAATTGTGACAGTCCCAAACTAAATTGACGTTAAAACAAACCTCAAAATTCAATTAAGGTTTCGAAACTGTTTCTCGTAATTGTTTGAAAACAGCAAATGTTAAAGTTGAGTTGGTGTTAGGTTTTTAATAAAATAGTTTTATAGGGCAATGAATGCCGTATTTATTATATACCGAATCATAGCTACATTATTCTTTTAATTACAATGGCAAATGATCGGGCTTATTATATCTTTGTTATAATAAGTTTTATTAGTATTTGTTTTAATTTTTTTTTGTCAAGTTATCTTTAATTGACACTGGTATTTTTATATCAAATAGTAATTCATTTAATTCGACAATAATAAACATTATTATATTAAATATAATCTATATACATTGGTGTTAAGAAATGTTTATAATTTGTAAACATCAACAGATTTCACATAAATAATCGTAAATTATTAAAACTGCGTCGCTTTATAGATTGTCTACTTTTCCATTGAAGTTTGAGTAAACCCCTGATTGTAAATACATGCCCAGGACGGCACTTAATCAGTCTTTTTGAAGGCTTGTTAGCCTTCAAAAAGGCTGGTGCCTAATGTTGATACATAATCGTGTTTTTTCCTTGCGTCTCTATAATAAATAAGTTACGGAGAAAGACAACGTATTAGCCGGAATAATATGCATAATATATATTATTATTGATAATTTACCTTATACTCAAACGTCAGCGTTAATTATTGTTAAGTATTATTTACGATAGATTTCCAAAAATATATTTTTTAAATCAGTTTCATGCATTACGTAGAAATATAATCCAATACACTTAAGACGACCCATTCTCGCTATTCGATTCCATCCATAGGGAAGGCCCGAGCCCCAGCAGTGGGGATATTAATAGACTTGTGATGTTTATAATAATATGTCACTTTATTATAAGCTTTAATTTAATTTGCCCTTATATTTGATCAATTTTGTTGAAATGTTTGGGTAGATTTCCTGAACATTAATGAAAATACGCTCTGTAGTAGCGAAAAGTAACGAAGTGCGTATTGATTACCTTCTACCCGGCCCAACAAAAAAGGAACTATTTTTCATAATAATAACAGAAGAACCTGGTTTATATAATTAAAGAGCAGTACACAATAATAATAATCAAGACATGATGTCAAAGCGTAATAAATAGTGACTTTTGTACGACCAATGTGGTTAAATAAAAATAGTTTTAACAATGGAGTTAACACTATTTTTTAACATAAAACAATAGTTTTAGCATAATAACAAAACAATGGAGGTCACATACTTCATTACTGTCGTCTTCAACGGCTAAACGGGAGTATTATAAAATTGTGTTCTAGTCTTTAAATACACTGTTATTCCATCGTGAATTGCGAGGAAAGAGATCTCTTTCGGTCCAATTAAATCACATCAACAGTTTCATCTGCCTCAAAAGGCAGATATAATAAAAAATAATGGATTTTGTATTTTCTTTATATACGTAAAAAATATATTTATCAAAGTTTAGATTCAGGCTTGTAATAACAACACCACACGGCTTATAGATTTACAGAGGTTTTCGAGTGGCCTCACTTGGGTTCAGCCCCATTGTGTGGCTACTTGACCTGTCGCCATCGTCTATTGATATTATAGCAGGTATCAGCTATAGATGTTGTAGCCAAAGTTTTATGAATACAATATGGCATAAAAAACTATTATCAAAATTTATTCAACTCCAAATAAACTGAAAGCATTAGTCGTTTTCTTTTAAGCGTTATTGTATTGAAGTTTTAATTTATAATATCACTTAATTAAAAATATTTAATTACTTGTTCACATTGATCAAGCTAAGAAACTATTGGACAGATTTATAAAATTCTTTCATGTACGAGAAGCTACATCATAGGATGATGAATGAGTGAATGAATGAATGAATGATTTATTGATGATATAGACTATAATTTACGTGGGCGAGGTCACGTGAAAATAGTTTTAATTATGCGTATCTGTGGTAGTAAACAGTATAGAAGATGTAATTCCTGTCTATATCAAGCGTTTTCTCACAGTATATAATTTGATAAAAGATTAATATAATATTCTGTTAGTGATAGCATTTAATTGAAATGCCTCCTATTTAAACACCAAAATTAATATAGACGACGAACGTCAGATCTAATCTGCATATTTGATTGTGACATAACACTGCTATTAATAAGAGCTGATTTATATAATATATAGTATGATTCGCTGAGATTTCATGCGGTGAAGGATTAATTGACAGGGATTTCACCTAATTATGAAAGTTAATCCTTTGGCTTTAGAACCCATTTGTCCTATAGAGTAAATCGATTACTCTGGTTAGCGCGTTTAGTTTGGAAATGAAGCATCTTTCGCAAAGGCTGGATGTAGGATGGGTGACCAAAAATGTCTCGATCTCCTCCGTGTTTCGAAAGGTACGTTAGGCTATTGGTCGCAACTGCATCAGCAAAAGGATCAAAAATGGCTGATAATGACTAATGTAAAATAGCTTTAAAGACTAATGCAAAAGCTGTGAAATAATTATTAGTGTGGATTTATATTATTTTGTTATTTAGTAAAGATATTAATTTAAATTGTAACATTTTATAGATAAATTAAAAACCAAATAAACATTAATTAATGACACCCTACTAAAAACCCTAATTAAAATTATTAATAAACGAAATACCACTCAAGACCTTCATCGTATCATTATAAAACGAGGGCCAAAGTCAGTTTAAGCCATTGGGTTTAAACCATTGGCCGCATAATGCATATTGACGATGACAGAAGAGAAAACATCAAGTTGAAGCGTGTTGACGTAATTTGGTCGGATAATGGTTTAAGCTTGGTTAGTCCTCGTTTTGTATAAGACGAATGTTTAGCTTACTTGTACTAAAATGTTTAACATCCGTTTTCACTAACCTAGAATAAAGCACAACTTAACTAGGAAATGCCTAATCTTACGAAGCGACTAAGCGGATTAGTTTAATTCCAAATAAATATTTGTTTCTCTTTTATTTATTTATTTATTTATTACAAACAAGTCTTAAAAGCTAACAGATGTTTCCATCCAAAACGCTTGCAAGATTAGATTATTAAAATAAAAAAAAAATTAAATAGAAAACATGCAATAAGACAATAATAACACTTAAATTATAATGATCAAATATTATTAACAATGTCAAAAAATATAGGTCAAATCAAATTACAATAACAATCTAATAATAGAATTAAATGTCAGCAATACAAAAATATGAAAAATTAAATTTCATTGTCAATCTACAAACTAATAATTGAATTTCTATAGGTACAAATAATCAATATTAACAAAAAAATAAATAATTATGTCAATTTTAATAGTACAAGAATATATATCAGGATTAAGTAGAATTGTCATTTAGGAATTTCCGAAATTGATTATATAAATAATTAAAATTATCGGCAAATATATCCAGTTCATAGTGCTGAGCAAGTATGTCCCCGATAACACGTATTGCACGTTTAGTGGGCGCATGTCGACCGCGCTCAGTGCGCGCGGCCGGCAGCGCCAATAACCGTGGTTGGCGTCTTGGTGCAACTAAACCCGCGGAGTTCCAAGAGATTTTTGTAGGAATTAACAAACAAAACTGTTCTAGAATGTTTGAGTTGTAAATTCTTCGGTGCAGAATCGAAAGATATAGGACTATCAGAAACATAGCCCTTCTCAGCTTCAATGTGTCCATTTCTACCATACCCAATACGAATAGGCTCGGGTAAAGATAGGGGTAGTATCCGTAGCTTTTGTAATAAAGCCATCGAGCAAATTTGCGTTGTATTTTTTCTAACATGAGAATATATTTTTCCTCATATGGATCCCACACAACTGCTCCATATTCAAGCTTGCTACGCACATATGCAGCAAATAAAACTTTACTAACTGCCACGCTATTAAATTGTGACGCCGTTCTTATAACAAAACCTAAGGTCCTAAGTGCAGCCTTACAGATATTAATTATGTGTGTATGAAAGTCCAATTTGCAATCTAATAATAATCCTAAATCCTTGATGTCAAATATTCTTTCCATAGGAGCGTCAAATAAATTGTAATTGTACATTTTGGGTTTTAATTTACGGGTGAAAGTGATCACTTTGCATTTATTTTTATTTAAAGGGAGGTTATTATCGTGACTCCATTGACATAGGGCATTTATATCCCTCTGCAAAGTCTCTGCGTCTGCTTCTGTCTCAACGCCTAGACTGAGTTTTAAGTCATCAGCGAACAAAAGACACTTAGCGGTGGACACTATTTCTGTTACATCATTGATAAAAATCAGAAAAAGTAGAGGTCCTAATGTACTACCCTGACTGACCCCGGATCTAGTAAAGTAATTACCGGACTCGTATCCATTCAAACGCACATATTGACAACGACCACTTAAGTAGGAAGAAAAGAACTGGATGAGTTTTGACGTGAAACCAACCATAGCCATCTTCCGAAGCAATATGTCATTGTCAACCAGATCAAAAGCCTTTT